TTTTGAAAAAGAAAAATGTGGTCTTGTCTCTCATATTATGAGGGTTTCTCATAATTATTGGGCTGCTAAGTGCATTGATATCAAAAATTGTTACGATCTACCTAGCAATGCTGATCTATCTCCATCAATATTCAGTGGCCTAAGCCCTGAATGATACCAGAAGACAAAAGTTAAATGACAGAAAAAAATGGAAATACAAAATCTATTTTCTTTGAAGTGCATGCTGTCTGTCAGTTAACTTCAGGAGTTTTTTTTTTCTGTGCAAAAAAGTGAACAAATATTGTTTGATCTATTTCCCTAGGTCTGCATTTTGTGTCAGATGTAAGTCGTTGGATTTATATTGGATGACCTTTGACTTCAGAAGATTTTGATGAAATATTAAAGTACAAGAATATACATGTATTTGTAACTACTTATGCATCATTGTTATAATTTATAAATGTTGTATTCAATTTTGAGAGTACAGATTATGGTACAGGTAGTACTAACCTTGATGTATAGATTTGTGTGTTTGCAAAATTAGTATTCTTACACAAAAGAGTGCAATAATATACATATACGTGGATAATTTCAGATATATTTCATTCATTATATGAGATTATTATTTTTGTATTTACAAGTTCATCAACTTACATACAACAAGAGACCGCCAGGGTTGAATGCTTATTATTGAATTGTACTACAAGATTGTTTCTATGCCAGTATGCAATATCATGTTCTCATAGTTAATCTGTGATATTTATAATATAAATTGTTTTGCAAACTTTTTGTCATAATATAATTTTTCGATGCCATTTTCATATTATGCAAATACATATAAGATTTTCATAATACTAAGGTACTTGAATATTTGTATTATAATTTTTTTCAAATTTGAGAGCATGTATTACTAATACCAGTTGAAATTGTGTTTCATTTGATAGATCAATACAAAAATGTGAAAATACTCCTTAGATGTGTATTTTTATGCCACCGCAGCATCTGCGAAACGGTGGCATATAGCGATTCACCAGTGTGTCTGTGTGTTGGTTTGTGTGTGTTATATAGATTATATATTGAACTTAAAAAATCTTGTGAAAAACCACTAGTCCAATTTCAACCATAAGGCATTGTCTGGTAGACCTCTACCAAGATTGTTCAAAATATAGCCCTTGTGTCCAAATCGGCCCGCCCCGGGGGGTCATTGATTTTCAGTATATGTACATATAGAAAAACTTAAAATACCTTCTTGTCTGAAGGTACTAGGCTTAGAGGTTTGATATTTGGTATTTGTTATTATCTATAGGTACTCTACTAAAGTTGTTCAAATTTTGTCTCTAGTGTCAAAATCAGCCTCACCCTGGGGGTCATAGTTTTCCTTACATGTATATAGTAAAAACTTTAAAAAATCATCTTCTCTAATTGACAAAGGCTAGAGGGTTAGACATTTTGCATTAAACATTGTGTAATGATTCTAGCAAGATTATTCCAACCGGTACCGTTGGCCTAGTGATTAAGGCGTCCGCCTTCGGATCGGGAGGTCGAAGGTTCGAGGCCCACGGGGAGCGTTAATTGAAGGATGAATGTTTCTCGTGGGACTCGTTCCGAAATGGCCGCTTCGTGAGCCGCAAGGTAGTTAAAATGAATGGTTACCGATTTCTATCCGCCTGGCGCCTGACATAGTGGTAGGAATTGGGAGGTACATGGTATGCAAGCAAAAGGTGTCTCATAAGTCAAAATGGCTGGCCCTTTCAGTAGGGGTGACACTATAATAAACAAGAACTTTACCTTTTTTTGTATATAGTTAAAACTTAAAAAATCATCTTCTCTAAATTCACAAAGGCTAGAGGTTAGATATTTTGCATGAAACATTGTGTAGTGAACCTTTAGCAAGATTGTACAAATTATAGCCCTGGGGTCAAAATTGGCCCCGCCCCAGGGGTCATTGATTTTCAATATGTACATATAGTAAAAAATCAAAAATTTTAATGTATAAAGGTACAAGGCTTAGAGCTTTAATATTTGTTATATGATATCATCTTTTAGGTAGTCTACCAAAGTTGTTCAAATTTTGCCTCTAGTGTCAAAACTAGCCCCGCCCCAGGGGTCATAGGTTTTCCTTACATGTATATAGTAAAAACTTTAAAAAATCATCTTCTCTAATTGACAAAGGCTAGAGGGTTAGACATTTTGCATTAAACATTGTGTAATGATTCTAGCAAGATTATTCAAATTAAAGCCCTGGGGTCAAAATTGGCCCTGCCCCTGGGGATCATTGATTTTCAATCACTATATCATAAAGTAAAAAAATAAAAATCTTATTGTCTAAAGGTACTAATCTGATAATAACATATAGGTAAGTAATCTATGCATTATGGCAATCTGTATAGAAACAAAAAAAATTATGTTCCTACATTACTATTTAGTGTTGTATTTATGCGGTGGCATGACATTTTTTACAAATGCAATCTTGTTTAATATTCATATAGATAAAGGTATATTTTATAAGATTTAGTGTTGAAGAGTGTATTTTGTAATAGATTCATTTATTGCATGGAAAGATTTTTGTCAATTTTCTAGAAATGAGCCTTTCCTTCTTGTCCCGATTGACAATGTAACACTTGATTAATATTTTGTGTGCATATTTTGATAACTGATGGAGGTACCCTCGTTAAACGTTATACAACTTCAGGACTATATTGTAAACCAACATTTTGTGTTTAATTCAACTTATTTATACACATATTATTGTCTCTTCTGAAACATTTTAAGGGGAGTGGTGGCCTATTGGTTAAGGTGTCTGCCTCTCAACCCAGGGATCACAACCAGGTATCTTCCTATGACACCAGTACTGATTGGTTCCAGGTCGCGGACTCAAAAGTGGTTAATATAAGTTGCAAGAACTTGTTTCGCAATAGAGCTTAAATAAATATGTATAATAAAAACATTTTATGTGCTCTATATCATGAAATGTTAAATTGTATCGTGCTATAGGCATTGTATTTGCATGCTTTATGCAATAAACTTTTGAATTGAATTGAAACAACATCAGGGTCAGAACAGTAGGTTATCTAAGACCCATAGCTCTAGTGTAGTGTAGTTTTTTACCAAATTATCCACATTTGTGAACTACTACTAATTACTCTAGTTTGGATTTTTTATTATTTTAAATTACGATATGTGTAATGTCTAGTATTACCATCAAACTTCGATGATTGTTGAGCATGCTTTGGTACAGGCAGCTCTTTTTGAATATTTGAAGAAAAAATGTTTTCAACTTGTGCAATTAATCAAGTACATACCAGTAGTTAAAATATTTGTAATATATTTATTATTCTTTTGTTTCTTCTCAAAGTCTGACATGTAATTATTTAAGACAACAAATAACCTTGGCTGCCAAGTAGTTTAAATTGCTGATTAAGAATGACTTACCGGTATCTCACTACAATATGACAATTATTTCATACACAAGCTGTACAGATTGTGGAAGATCAGTGGTTCAACTTAAGTGACTTGCTTTCTTCTGACACAGATATCTCTTTCCTCACCAGTATAGCTGGAATGTTCTCATTAGACATTAATAATATCCATTTTACACTTTAATACCAATTGTTACCTGTTCCTCATTGCAGTGCAGGAATAACAGACAAAATAAGGCAAATTTCAACCTTTGCTTTTGCTTGTCCCCACTCGCCTTGACCTTAGTGATTTGTTTTGGTGCAGGAGAAATTGTGAGTTTGGGGGGGGGGCGGGGGCTATCAAGCACAAATTTTACTATGTGAATGTCCCTTTCAAGGTGGAGACAATGGACTTTTAGCAACATTTGTATGGGGTTGGGAATATTAGATTTGCCCTTGTCAATTATGATTAACTAACTGGAATGTAGAGCTATTTTATAGTATCTTTAAATTCATTCATCTGTTATGCAAATTAAAGCATCAGGTTGCTTCCATTTCTTCACTTCACCAATTTGTATCCATCGTATAATGGACGAGTTTTGTTGTAAGGCATTGCCTTTACTTTTCTAATTGTTGATATTTTTACATGAAATTATGGTATTTAAAATTTTGTACAAAGTGGCAATATTTGAAAATTGTTTTGAATAAAATAAAACAAAAACATTATTTCTTTGTTTTCATATATGTTTAAAAAACAAAATTGAAGTACGATGACCATTGTAAATAACTAACAACTTAAAAAATTCTGTTGAATGTATGAACATGATGAATGGAAAGAACTCAACAGAGAAACATGTCAATGGTTCATTAATATATCTGTATTATATATAAATATATTTTAACTCTATCAAATAACAATGCATTATGACGAAATTTCAAAACGCTTGTCGGACAAACATTTAGGAATATTGTTATTGATTCCTATCTAACCTTGTTCACCAAAGTTGTTTGTGAAATCTTGAAATTTCTGGAGTTCTGTGTCAGTTACTGTCTGTTTGTGCGTCTGTAAGGACTTGAGAAAATCCGACAGCTCTGTTTGTCTTGGCTTGATCTAAAAGTACATTGAAAATTCATTTCCCCAGTATGCATTTATTGAATTGACATAGACACCTTTACTTTTTAATTTCATGATATAGGCTTACAGATGAACAATAATTAGCCTTTCCAACATCTGCCAATGTTAAACAAATGCATAATTAAAGTTAAGTCTTTTCAAGGTCAGGAACAATGCAAAATAAAATGAAAGTTAACCAAAATCATATAATTATGACAATATTCATTTTGTTCTTCAAATGTCCGTTAATATTACAGTGGCGTAGCTTCCTATAGGCACTGAAGGCACGTGCCTACACTTTTTTCTCAGAAATGAAAAACATAAGAAATTAACAAAAACAAAAAAGGAATAAAAATTTAAGGGTAAGGACGATAGAGGTGTAGGCCCAAAATGATCAATCATCTTATTTAAAATAAGTTCGTAATCCAGTTTTAATCTGAATTAATGATGCCGTTTCATAAAATTGTTCTGGTAGCGGTAACAAAAACTATCATTGTTCACCATGTAAAAGTTTTTTATATTGCAAATATGGCCTATCAGGATTATTCATGATTATCATAATTTGTAAGTTATTATGTTAAACCTGTATCTCCGTCAAATCTAGAGCTTGTGGGTCCTCTACCCAAGGTTGAACAAAACACAAAGAAGAGTTGAAACCAAACAAGTTCAAAGGATCGGTTTAAAATAAAAGTGAAACATACTCTTGTGTTAAAACATAAAAATCTAAGAATGTGTTTTGTTTCTTTTCATGTTAAATGGTTCGAAGTTTGAGAATGAATAGTTCTTCGGATTTCTTATGTTGACATTGTGTTCAGAATGACTGTCTTATTCATTTGAGTAGGAACCTTATACTAATTGAATTACTGGAGAAATAATTTTTCTTTGTCTTTAATTCTTTTATATGATGGACTTTACGTAAACAATCAAGTTTCTGTATTATGTTTCATGATAAGTATTCAATTTATATATTATATGATCATAATAAAAACATTCGATGCTATTTGTGAGACAATAAAAATCTATCATAATTTGGTATTTAACCGTTCCTTTGACGGCTGGTTGTCTGTAGCAAGGTGTTGTTGGGGCTTGGTTGAGTTAATATCGCTCTTTCTGGGTGATCTTTGTTGTCATTACATTTGTGTATTTTCTAATCATATATTTAGACAACCTTGTTTTTCACTTCTGATGATATAAATTCCTTTTTGTCGATATTCAAATAAGTGTTGATGTTTGATTAAAATTTCCATAAATTTGCTCTTTATGTCATAGTTCTACATTTATATATCAGTACTCCAATATTATACCGAAATAAAACTCTTTTTGCCAAAATCACGTACAATATTTTCGCGAGGATTTAGTTAAAAGACTTAGTGAGGACATATTTATATTTATGGTAAAGCGTTTTCAGTGAATCAAAAAGTCAAAAAAATGCAAAATGCAGCAAAATTATGTATTCTCTTCTTTCTGAACATGCCTTGAAATACCACAGAATGCAGCTTTGGCAATGTAGATTTTCAAAAGTTTTCGGGGGAGCATGCCCCCGTACCCCCCTAACACCAGTGCCTTCATATTGATTTCTTTCAAGCTACGCCCCTGTATTACACCTGCAGTTTGGCAAATGATTTAGTACCATGTCTTTGTTATTCAAGTAGAAATTACAGGCTATAGGGATGATTTTGCAGGATTTATCAATTCTTTCTAACACTACTGTACATCTTATCTTTTATTCATCCATTATCACCTCTTGATATTAATATAGAGCATTATAGTAACAATATTGATATGTATTAGAGCCGGGCCAGACTTCTCAAACCATTATCAGTATTGTTTGATCAGTATAAACTGCTCAGTTTTAGCTCATTGATATAGAAATCCTTTATAACCAATCATTCTAAATTCAAACAAAAATTCCATGACACAAAACCTGTATGATAGGGGTTTTACCTATTACAACATTGATATGATCACCCTGTAATTCAGATTTGGACAATATTATTTCTATTCAATAATGTGATCATACCTGGTCAGCTGGAAGTGATGCCATCTTTGCATGAATAGCTCCAGGTGTGTCTGCGCTACAGGGATAATATTTCCCATCTGAAAAATATAACATTGTGAACAATTATGAATTGTTGGCAGTAAGATTTAGTGTCACAATCAGGCTTGAATAAACTACTGGAACCTGCTTAAAGCTGCATGCCTCTAGATGAGACAAAATATTTCAAGAAAATCAAAACTTTGAAAATATGTACTACGACTTTAGGAAAAGCAAAATGATTCAAGATTCAAGCAATATTTTACATGTTACGTGCGTTTAATACTGATTTTACAGTATTTACAACTATATTTCTACTGCGTTACTAATGCAGTAAGGGTTATTTATGCATATTTTGACCATGTTTTAGTAATTTATGTGGGTTGTAAGTGCCATTGATAATGTGTGAATTGCTTCCTTTTGGTTATTTCACAATATTATACATTCAAATACATTTTCAAAATTTTCATGAAAATTAGCGTGAATCTGGAGGCTTTAAGATAAAAAGAGCTTTATTGCTACATTTTATTCATAATGATATAGGTTATCACAATATAATGTAAAAAAAAAGGCTTCTTACTCTAGATATGTGTGTCATAGTATATCTTGCTATAAGAGGTTGCTTTTTAAAAAAATCCCCAAAAAATCTACCTTCAGTCTTGCTCCAGTATTGAGCAGTCTGTAGGTCACGTATTGGTCCGAAGAGAGCACCAAGAGTCATGTTGGCGATATCACTGCCAGAATAACCGTCCGTCTTGTCCGCCAGAACATTCCACTCAGTCTCAGTGAGGTCAAGCTTATTCTCCTTCGTGTGAATCTTTATCAAACTCAAACGAGCCTCTCTGTGAAAAAAATTTACAATCAATTGATTGGTTTAAATCATACACTGAAAAGGTGAGATTTTTTATTTCTAATTTCCTGAAAAAAAGTGTGCTTTGTTTGTCATAGTTTTTTGTGTATGCTTTACTGAGTTTTAAGTAGCAGAACCAGAAAAGATTGTCTTATGACACTGTCCAAACTTTATCCTTCAAGATAACCCATATGGATTTTCATGAATTATTTGAAGTGCAAGCAAAATCAATTACTATTGTACTATACATTGTTATTTGCTAGCATTAGTATTATTTGCATGACTATGAATTGAAAATTAAGACTGTATGACAAGATCTATCATAATACTTCTTTGCTTTCTAAAACCAAGAAAAAACATGGGAATCTTGAGAGTATTTTTCTAGAAATCCAATGTGATATCCATGTGACATGTCAAGAACTAAACATCTACTCAAAAGTTACTTAATTTGTACTCATGTCCTAAGTGAAATCCTATACCTGTCAGGCAGTGGTATGTAGATCCGTTTTTGAAATCTACGCAGAAAAGCTGAGTCCAACTCCCATGGACAATTTGTAGCACATAGAAGAAATATTTTGTCAGAGTTTGTAGAGTTATCTGCCCCTTCCATTTGTTTGAGAAGTTCTGTTTTCATGCGGCGAGTATGTTCCTCCTCCCTGGAGCTTCGCTGTCGACAGATGCTGTCAATCTCATCAATAAAGATGACAGATCTACCAGTTTGATTAGTGGCATGCTGAAACAGCTCTTTAATTAACCTATATTTGATCAAATTAAAAAGAAATTTATTTCATCATTTTTTTTAAAACTGAGTAAACTGCAATCATTACGTAAGATGTGATTTTTTTTTTTTACAATTTATTTTGCTGAGATCAAAGTTTGGAGCATTTATTTAATGTTATGATTGTATGATATTTTTTTACATCGGCAAGTGTGTGTATGTGTTTTTATGTTCATTCACGTGAACACCCCTGTAATACCTGAAATATCGGAAATAAAGTACATGTAATTCTATGAATAAAAATTTGAGAACAATTCTATAATAAGTGTATAAACTTTCTTACTTTTCACTTTCACCAACCCAGCTAGAGACGAGATCCGAGCTAGAGACACAGTAGAAGGTAGAGTTGATCTCAGCTGATATAGCCTGAGCAATCCGGCTCTTGCCAGTACCAGGTGGACCATACAACAATATACGCTTCCATGGCTTTATACAACCTGAATTGTCAAAAGGTAGTTTTGCTATCCTATGATTTACTGTTCGAGATAAAAGGAGGAAAAGCTCTAGAACAGTTTTGTTAAGATTTAAGATGGGTTGATAATGTGCTCCTTTTTTTAAGACAAAATTAATTTTCTTTTGCAATTTGATACAAAGTCATGTAAATACTAAAACAGTTCTGGCTTAGCTTTTATTATACTAATACACCAAACAAAGCTTATAAACCCCCAATGCACATTTTGTGAATTGGGACTATACATGCAAAACTGAGCAAAACTAACTAGTGAATACATGTGAGGTCAATGCATGATATTCCAATTACCCATAAAATTTTCATTAATTTCCAACAATATCATTTCATTAATTTCCACAGTAAAACTAACAAGTGATTACAACATGTGAGGTTAATTCATGCATGCTGTTACAATTACCCATACAGAATTGCATTTATTTCCTACAATATTAAATATGATCACAGTTGGGTTAAACATGCCACCTCGGAAAGGAACCAGTCCTGATGTTAGATAAAGATACATGAGATCCCGACATGAGTAGGACTTAAACGCATGATTCAGTGGTTGAGAAGCAGGCACCTTTGTCTGAAGGAAGACACCCTTTTCTGCTCCTTACAAAATGAGAACATTGTGAATATTCCAACTTGCTAGTCAGACTTTACTAAAATTAACATCATTAATCTTATCTTACCAGTAAACAGTTGAGGAAACTGTAGAGGCATGATGATAGCCTCTGTGAGAGCTTGTTTAGCTTCACTTAGTCCAGCAATGTCTTGAAATGTCAGTCCACCTTTACCAACTATAGTGTCTTTGATGGCAGCCTTTCTTTGTATACTCTGTTTATCTCCACTGCCACCTTCAGAAGATGTTGACTGATCTTAAAAGAATATTGTAACAATCAATGTCAAGTAAAGAGCCAACATTTAAATCATATTATGTCAGAGACTTTACTTGCAAAATAGAAGTACGACTTTGTTATATGGGATTGAAACTCTCAAAGGAATATTATCAACCCAAGCAGCAAGTTTAGAAAAATAATGCTCTGAATTTAATGCCGACCCAGAAAAAAACAAAATTTTTTAAAAAGTCTGATTTATGTGTAAGAGTCTTTAACATTGATGTGACACATCAGACAGTCTTTTAACATAAATAAAGTAAAATGAGATTTGATGTTCAAGTGTGATCTTGACCTTCCGGGTACATAGTGGCAGCATGCATTGACCTTCTAGCTCAGATCTAACACTTGCAGTTTTGTTTATTAAACATGTTTAAAAAGTGAAATTATTTTACCTGTACTTGTACCAGGAGTTTGCTCAGGAACCTCCTGGTCTTGTTCAATGTTTAATTGATCTATTTTAGCTGACAGTATGTCTACATGACTCTGAATGTTGTCAATTAGTCCCTTATACATTCCCTGAAAAATTTAAAATGTTTTTGTTAGTAGATTTAAGGTGGAAATATCAGTAAAACTTGACCCAGGATCTTTTGGATGCATATGTAATACATTTGTAACTTATTCTCTTTTTCCCCCTTGCAACAGCTTCTGCCACTAAAATCTATTAAATTCACCATGATAACCAATAAAACAAATGGAAGCATTTCAAAATATTCACTTTTATCAAATGATAATTAACATTAAATTTTTTTAGCTCAGGTGGGGAAAAATTGTCTTCTGAATTTTGGTCAAAATGGGCAATATCAAGATTCAGTTTGACTTCTTTTATACTGTTCAGTCTGTCAGCACATAGCCTTTATTCTTTCATGTTGGCTTTTATTTTATACAAAATGATCATAAAAACACTTCATGCCAATTCATTCCACTTCATGTTAATTATAACTTTATTCAGTGGGAAAGAAAAGGTAAATGTAAGGGATAATCCCTTTATGAAATTCTTATAGCCTGTACTGGTTTCCTAGCAGTTTCTGTCCCCTAGCAGTTTTCTGGCCGACTATCATTTTCCTCCGGTACAGTCTATTTTAACCAGTAATGCATCCACATTGCTTCATCAATCAAAGAAACATTTGTTTTCTATGCTAAACAGCATTTAAAATAGTACAACGCTTTAAATGTTTTGAAGTTTTGCCTGTTAAAGAAAACTTGCAACAGTCAAAAATAAGCAACACCTGGGGAATTCTAGTTTGAATATCCATACGCAATAACTAAGACCCCATTTTAGGTACTTTGTAAATCAATACTTTGGAAAATATTTTTGCACACGACACGGAAAAGGTTGGGAAGTTCTGTTTGTTTGTTAAAATCATCTTAATATTGCTTTATGGTACTGAATTATGTTCAAAATAAAAAAGGTCCGGAAAACTGCTATGAATTTTTTGATAAAGCTAAAAAAGGCATTACATTTCAGGCCTATATTCAAATATAAAAGTTAAATTAAAGTGCAACATTAAACACATGGCAATGCTGGCGAGGTACCTAACTTTGTCCTGTCAAAGTTTTGTACCCCTCTGTAGACTGATTTTTATTTTATTTGTGAAAAAGTGCAATTTGAGGCCGGAAACTGCTAGGAAACCAGTACTGTAAGGTTCTAATTTAAAGTTTGTCCCAGAGACATACTTTTGAATTTTGTCCCATTTACAAGAAAGGTTTGCTTTCAGGCTTCGTGAAAGTTGCCGGACCGTCGGACATGTCCAGCAAAAATCAGGCCGGTCCGATATTTTTTTTTTGAGTTCCGGAGGACCTTATGTCCGGTACGAATACGGGGATATATCCAAGACCGATCAAGACCGAGTTTTCTCCCTTGAATAAAAAAATGTAAACCGAGTTTTGATTCGCCGTTTCATTATAAGTGTCCAATCAAATTCTAGATACATACGACTGTCAATAACCAAAATGTCAGTGTTACTACATTATTACGCTGGCGCTACGCCCGGCAAAAATCGTAAACTAACCAATGAAGAAAAAAAAGCGAAACAAAAGGAATACGAGTCTAGGCGCCCGCCGAGAACTTGTGGGTAAATGGAAAAATGGCCGCTTTGATCATGAATGTTTTGATTTCCAGACAGAGTCCATCAATCTGGATAAACTAATGTTTTATTTAAGGGAATAAAATTGTGTTTCAAATCTTTAAAAGTTGTTATGTCTTTAAAAAAAACACAAAGGTATTACCATATACATATATTTGGAAAAAAAATTCGGTCAGACAAAAGTTCTTTCGGTCAGACAAGAATTGAAAGTTTGTCTGACCGAATGTCAGGCAAATTTTTCAGCAGTTTCGCGAAGCCTGTGCTTTACCTTACAATGTTTTACCAAGAGCCAGACGCTTAAAATTAATAAGTCTTTTCATTGAGCATATTATAAATTTGCTACATTAAATGTATGGGAAAAAAGATTCTGTTTAGGTACATATGACATGATTGCAATACATGTATGTGAGTGATATGATCACTTTATCCTGTGATTTTTATATCTGAATATCTATAAGGAAACATTTGTTAATTTTTAATGAGTAATGTGAAAGAAAATGAAAAGTTACTATTTATAATTAATATATTAAATGAAATTTAAGAAAAAGAAAGTTTTACCGAGAATTTAGGATCATTCTCAAAGCTTGAAAGTTTCTGTACAAGACTTTGACACTTCTGGGAGGTGGCCAACATATACTGAATGTCAACATTGGACATTTTCTGTCCCTCCTCTAACACCGATTCTAGGCTGAAATTTTAACATCACTGTTGTAAATAATTTATGTTTAAAAAAGTTTACAATACTATAAGTGAATGTGCAAAAAGCAACTATAGAGATTTGAGTCTTTTCTTACAATCAGTGGCTATCATTTAATTAGGCTGATTGTTGCTCAATGGTTATTTTTCATTAATTTTTTTTTAGAAAGTAAATAAGAAACAGACTCTGGCTTAGTGATTGTTTGTGATGACTGATGAACAAAACATATTTTATAAAATAACTTTCAAAGTCTGTTTCTACTATTAGATCTAGTTGGAAAATTGCCTAACATGTATAAGAAGGTGTTGTTTTTTTATATTTTACCAATATGAATAATTATCACAGTCAGTGTAATAAATTCTGCCATAGAACTCATGATTACATAAAAGAATATATAAAAGAAAAAAACATTTGCATTAATGAGATCTAAACTATGATTGATCATATAAATTTAGTGTTTATTAGATCTAATAATTCATTGATAAAATACCAGGTTCCTTAGTAATCTACAAAATCATATGAAAACTTACCATGATTTGGCAGCTGAAAATTAAAAAAGAAGATAAGTGTAAGTCTCTAAGACTAATATTGTACTGTAAGTCAGTATTATTAAAGTGCATAATTTAGAATAAATTCTGTACATTTTTTGCAAATGATATAATTACCAAATCAACAATATATAGCTATATTTTGCTTTTATAACTTTCCCCATTTATTTAGAATAATATTTAAATGTCTTCCGTAGACATATCCACAAAACCAATAAAGAAAACAGAAACTAAGCTGGCTAAAAATTTGTGTATCCGAATTTATGGCTTGTCCTACCGTTTTTAAAAGCAAATCGTTTCTTATTAAACTTAGTATTTATAAACTTGAGGATATAAACAAATAACAAACTAAGTAAGTAAAAGAGTACCCTCAAACAGTCTCTCTTCTTCGTCCAAACTCATTTGAAATATTTTGTGTTGACGACAAGTTTGAAATATTGCGGGAAATGTTACTTTTCAGGCGTGTTTGTTTATTATTTAGAGCGCAGTTTTACAGGAGAACTAATCGAAGAGATTTCTCGTATCGATTTATTCGGAGAAGTTAGTTACATATATGTATCGCATGATATCACAGGTACTTGAAATTCTATCAAATAAGCAATATTAACGATAATATACAAAAATACCCCCTTTTGGCCAATATAGTATAAATGTTCATTTTTTGGAAAGAATTGATAGAATTTCATGTTCCTGTGATGATATTTTTCATCTAAACGTGCAATTGGCGTTCTTTGCTTATATATTTGTTTTACTATTACATTTCCATGGAACATATTAGTAAATGCACCTTAATATATAAAGTTCATCATTACCAATAGTAATTACATTAGTTCACGTTGATTTTGGGATTATTCTACTCCTTATAAATAGCTTAGCCTACTTCCGAACAATAAATGAAGTTTATTATCCATCGGTGGCCATGATTGTTACCCTACTGCAGTAAGCATTTTCAATAATGCCCAGCATGTAACTTATATATATGATAATCTTGGCGCCAAAAATCCATCGCATTGACCCTGCAGTGCAGAGACAGGTGAGTTGGAACCATTTTCTTCTAACTAATTCCCTCTCTACTGCCGGGTTTGTAGCTGGGGTTACATATGACTATATGTATTTAAATGGGCTTTTCCAGTGATTGCTTGAGTGAGTGAACTCGTGAGTGAGTGAGTGAGTGAGTACGCGCCAGTAAGGAAACAAGCAAGCAAGTAAGTTAGTAAACAAATAAATCTGAGGATACGAATAATCTTTAGAAGTGTAAATTTCTGTCATACTTAAATAAGCAGGCGCTTTAATGTATATAGTGAATATTTCAATTTAGAGTGTAAATTGTACATGTTGTCGTAATTGAAACAAATTGTGCGGTTAAATTGTCATCAATTTTAAATTTCATTAACATGTAACCGATCTACCATTGTCTGTTGACAGATTACTTTGATTGTTTTCTACAATTATTGACTAAAGTCTAATTATTACTAGCTTTGTGATTTTCTATGAAAGACTAGTTTTAAAAAAAAAAAATTAAAAGTTTCGGATGTTTCAATTTTTTTCTCATAATGCCACGTGTATTGTTTCATATGCGTCAATAACAAAATGACTTTTTAAACAGTATTTTGCTAAATTTTGATACATGTAAAAATAATGATTTCAAAAAATGACTTAAAATAAATAAACGTTTAAAAAAACAACAAAACTTTCTGATAAGATGTCAGAGGTTTTAATAAATACAAGATAATATCCTGGATTATATATAAATTAGCGTAGTGTGTCAAATGGAGCGAACACTTACGCGGACACCAGAGGAACTTCCGGTTTCAGCTGAATATTGTCCACAATGGATTTATACTGCTACAGAAGGCACAATATCAAGTGCGAAATGGTCTTATGACTGGAACCAGGTATGTCTTTAGTGTGCCATCCAAAATGATGTATATAGTTGTAAAACAGAGGTATTCGATGTTTTTTCTTATGATGAAGTGACTTCCAAAGCTGCAAAAAGTGAGAAAAAAAACCGATTCATTAATAGTGAACTGATGCTTTTGAACGTTTTGAAGGTTTATTCTCTGTAATACAAAGGACTTTTTTATTGTTTCCTTTAAGAGACCTAACTGATTTTTTTGTCTTTGTCTTTTTTTGACATGACATGACTGTGAAATAACTTTCCGATATGTGGTCCATTTTTTGAAGGTCTAGACCAATAACTTGTCGCAAAATTTTTAATCATTCGCTCAATCCTGGTTTTTGTCCGAGAATAATTATTCGAAATGAATGTAAAAAGTGACATAATATTGAAAAGCGTTGCAAAGCTTTTCGCTCAAATCAGGAAAAGATTCAGGCACAAAAATACGATTTTCAATTTATTTCTGAGTATATTTCTTAATTATCTTTTGCATATCTTTCTGTGTTAATTGCCTAAGCTGATCTATATAAGAACTTACATTAAAATTTTTGTGTTTTTAGGTTTTTGGACCTCAGTGGAGTTCTTTTAATTTCATACAGATCTATGGAAAGCAGTATGGGGCCTTTCCGCTGGTATTTTTACCGGTTTAGAGGGAGTAAGAGCTAAAGTGTTAAATCAAATTTGTTCAGAATATACATCAATTCTTCGCCAATAACAAAGCACATTGTTCTGTAAAAGATCATAAAATTATACATTATACATAATTATATGCATGGAAATAAATTTGCACCAATGAATGTTTCAGATACGGGCAAAATGGCATCCACAATATTTCTTCCGCTGGAATGCTGTTGATTCACATGTCTGGGATGATGGGTACATTACAGAGGTAACGTTGACATTATTGTAACTTTTCGGCCCTTTGCTTTGCCTTTCCACTCTCCTCAAAACCCGAAGCGTATATAAATCTTTATTTTATTTATAAATATGCCTGATGCACTGCCAATACAAAATGTTAAAGAGTTGAAGCGGAAAATAATTCATAATTTTGAAAATTTTAACAGGAAGTTATAAGGCCGTTTATATTGATGATATGTTTAATATTAAATAAAAAGCCCGTTTATATATTAATGAAATATTATTTACAAACGCTATTTTGTTTTACGTCTCAAATTATTCGACCATTTAAAATTAATAATTTTGGACTGATTATGTATCGGATATAAAATGGCATGTTTAGAAAGATGAGTGCAAAAAAGAGTGGTAATTGTAAAAAAAGGAAACAAAAATATTAGGGAGTACACAAACAATAAAAAGGGGCGAATTATTAACAAAAGTAAATGAAGAGAGGAAAAAATATTGGTCCGTATGTTATTAAGTGCTATTTCATGCATATCATATACTAATAATAATAGCAACTAGAACAATTATACGAGTTTTAGGATAAACCAAATGAATGCTTTGTTTTACGTCTCTGCAAAAAGAACGAAAGAAAAAGAAGAAAATAATTGAATGATAAATATAGAGTCAATGGTTTTTGAAAGAGATCTTATTGACGAAATGGGAAAAATACGTTTACCTAGTATACACATTTTCATAAATAACCCTGTTTCAGTATGAGAAACTATATTCATAAATTGTGTTGGCCTCATATTGTAAGTAATACAGTTATTACCTTTATTTCCTTTATAAAAAATAGTTATTGCCCAGTTTATTAGTCATTCATAAATAAATTGTCTTGTGAGTGTACATATTATTATATTATTTCATGTAATATTTGCCGGATTAAAAGTTAAAAGAAAAATAAAGTTTTAGGACCTAACATTTACGACTTTATCGTGTTACACGAACATTGCGACATTGTAAGTTTCTTAAATTTGAAATCTTAGAATGATTAACAATTTACCTGCAGAATTTCTTAAATTTATATTCTTAAATTTATTAATTCAGCTTCCATTTGTGGAACTGTCTGTTATCACTTTGGGGATATCAAAATGACTATATAACATTAGCCAACCGACTGAATAGTCAGGTCAGACTGCATGGGTATGCAGACTGGCTCTATATTTGCGGCAAATACTCATCAACGGGTAACGTTTAAGTAAATAAATCATGAATCAGTTATTTTTTAAATGATACAAAGGGTGGGGAAGTATTCCATGTATTTTAATGTCCGATTTCCTTTTAAATGCAATTGAGACTTTTTTGGTCAGTGTTTAATCTTGATATTTAGACGCTTATTTTAGTTTTATGCGCTTGTCAAGAGGGGTGTGGGTGGGGGTGATAGGGTGCCATGGCTACCTTCGATTTGGTTCATATGTAGAACCTCTCTGAGATTTGGAAGTGAACTTACAAACGTTCAGCGAAAGTTTCGCAATTTTTTTAATTTCTGAAAAACAGCATTTTTTACTAGTTATGACCTCCTCTGAAAAAAATTGGTACGATATCGTATATAATAATTGTCAACCCCCCTCCCCATTTGGGTTGTGTATTACCTCGAAATTTTGCGACCACCTCGCGTACAAGTCCTTGATCTTCGCTTAAGTTTGACAAAGAATTTAAGCTATAAAAGTCTTTAACAGTATGTTACATAACGCGCTTTCAGGAATATCAGAGTTCAATGGAATCACCAAATGTAGACTGTGTTATTGAGGGAATGGATAACCCAAAGCAGGCAGAAACCGAGTCTGAAACTTCCGACACCACGGGCACCGGGTGTGGCCGATGTCGGTTCACTATATTTCTCGTTGCTATAGGAATATTGATGACTGCTGCAGTTATCTTTCCACTGATCTTCTTTCTGCTGTCTGCTGAAGGTAATGTAACATCATGTATATTTTTTTTACTGTACATAATTCTTTTATTTTCATTTTATTTTGTAAAACCTCGTTTATCATGGGTTCAAACAATTGTCTAACTATTCAAAATGTCACAATGCATGAATTTTTTTTTATTAATATGCACCTGCTATCTGCAAGTTACTTTAATATTGATGTATAGAAACATTGAGTAAAAAGTGAGGGAGTCAATAGCGGATTCGAATTCCCAGTAAAATCTCCCTCCCCGACACCCTCTCTTCTCTCCCTAATGATAGACTAAATCAGATAAAATAAATAAATAAACACCATGTTTGTTTGAAGTTCACCATATCATAATTCTGTCCTGTTATCGTATATAAGTGTGAAAGATATATTTAAATTAACAAGCACTAATCCATTAAGAGTTTTAAAGTCAAAAGTTACTTGAAAATTATTTTCCAAATATATGTCAGGTCGAAAGGTCGGCTGTTATGGATATACTGAATATGTCATAATCTATTAATTTAATATAATAGTACACTGTAATTAATTGGTTGTCATGGATTACAGAACCATATTTCATGGCTAAACTTAAATAAAATATTATATAATAAACCTTTTTTTCATTTCAGAGAACTCAAGTGAACGTGTAGGTAAGATCAATTTTTCGTTGATTTTTTCTGATAACTTTTTTTTCAATAAAAATATCATTTTACAATATCTTCTTTCTAAAAATGGTGAATAAATCAAGTATACATATACTTATATATATTTTTTGTTGGA